ATCTTGTATCCATTATTTTGGAACAGCCAACAGGCTGTCCTTTTGATAATTAAGCACGTAAAGGCAGAAGAAATAAAAAAATAAAAAAAGGACTCACTGACTTTGGAATACTGCACACAAGTAGACTAGGAAGTAACAAATGAATCCCATACAGCAGAATAACTAATACTGAAATAATGTTTGGAAAGCACTTATGAAAACCAAGAGAAAAACTAACACAAAAAAGACTCCAGTCTGGAAAGACAAGCACAGTAGGAGTGCAAATGATATGAACAGAAAGATAACTACCACAGAGGTAAGGCAAGATGATACAGAAGAAAAGGGGAATTTTTGTTCAAAGAGAAAAGCTCTTTGGCCAGCAGTGTGCTGGCTGGTAGAGGTGATAATACCAGGTCTTGTGCTACTTACAATCGATTTATAACTGGATTCTAAAAACAGCTAACCAATAACTTTAAAAGTAAACACAGCACATTCTGTGTGGCTCTCTTTTCCCATAGCTAAGTCATGACACAGCCATTACAGGGCTAGAAGCTACAGACCGTAGCAGTAATAGGCTCCAAAGCTGGAATCCTGGTCCACTGACATTAATGGCAAAATTCCCATTGACTTCAGTCAGGGCAATACCTTCCCTAATGCACAGTATCACATTACTTAAGCTACAAAACCAGTTCTTCTATATATACTACCCCAAGTATATGGCAATTACAACTATGATGACTATGTAAACTATATCTTGTAAATTTCTATTGCAGTTACATCATTTTTTTTCTGTCCTGTGCTGCTCAAAGCACATTAAATGTAACAGTCTCAGCCGAAAAAACCCAAAAACTGTCCTCTGCAGAGTGTGTTTGTTACTGCTCTTCCTCAAACTGGAAAAGTAATACAGTCAAGTCAGCAGGGTAAATATTGGCAAGAATAATGATGCTAAACAAGCCAACGTAATACTGCATGGCTTTTTCAAATACTGCCTTTTGCATTCATAATTTTATTTTTCAGCATTTTCTTCTATTAAATAAAACGTTTCTGTAATCTTAATGGAAATATATTGACTGTATACAGCCTTTTATGAATAAAACTGATCTGAACTATTTTAATCATACAGACTTTTGAAAATAGTACTAGTCACTTCCTAGATGTTGTTATTCACATAATCAACTTAGTCACTTAAGGTAAACTGAATAAATTAGAAGTTACATAAGTTGAAGGATCAAATAAAGTACTGCAGAAGGAGGGATTAAAAGGCAAAGCAAAGCAAAGCAAAAAAAATTATATATAACTGCATGCTTTTTCTGATGGAGAAGTTGAGGACCTAAAGGCTAGGATATTTGTTTTCTCAGAAATAATGTATATACCTATTTAATACATTTCATATTCTTAAAATGGCCTTGAAGTCCACAAAGTTCACTTATTTGGATATAACAAATATAGCATAGTGAGCATTAGAAGTATTCTGCAAAGCTCCACAGAGGAAGAGCACAACTCAGTAAGGTAATGGATCCTCATGCTTTCATATGTTACAGCGGGCATTTTAAAATAGAACTTACTGGATTGTACATCTGATTGAACAACTGTTCAGCTTGCTACATTGCAAAGTTGGAAGGGAGTGAAGCACAGACAGGAAAAGAAGGAAAGATCCAGGAAAACAGCATTAGCTCAACAGAACCAGTGCATTTGCACAGAAGAACTTGTCATAAAAAAGTAGAAATTTAAGATTCTAAACATTCCTTGGTGAAAGTGAGAGGCACTGGGGAAACATAAATGTTGACTTTGGCTCCTAAGAAAGAATAGCTGGAGTAAGAAATTTAAGGTTTGTGTTACTTTCCTTTTCTCAAGTTAAATCACCCATGAAATAAAGAAAGGTGTCCACTTTTGATGATACATTAAGTGCTGGTCTCAAGCAATGAATCACGAGAAGTGCTTTTGGCTGAGGCTGCAATTTATCACCAAAACTTCAAAGACGGTAATAATAAAAGATTAATTAAATTGTATCATTAAATTTATTACTTTCCTTTTGTTTAACACAAGACTGAATTTTCTATGCAGAATGACTTTCAAACAGTACAGCTTGGCAAAAAGTACTTTAGCAACTGCAAATATGTCAGTAAGCAAGTAAATTTAAGATAATGAAAAACAACAAAAGGAGGAAATTCTAAAGTGGATAATACGATTATATATATGCACACACACACATATATAAAACACAGCTACCTATTAGGTAATTTCTGCTGTTCTTTCACTAGTAGCAATACAAAGCAAGTCAACAAAAAGTCTGTGGAATTTTGGCAAAAAAAAGCATTGAGCAGTCTTCTGGGTTTTAGGATTTTTTTAAAAAAATTATGTATTTTAATCCATAATCTTTCTCAGAAAAGGCTTAATAAGCATGTCTCTATGGTTTTAAACAATATTTTGTGTATCAAAATATAGCACAGCCCTATGAATAATTACTCTGCGTGAATATCCCATTTATTACTTTCTGAAATGTGTCTACTTCATAAAATCAAAATAGCGGTTTTACAATCAGCATGTTTTCTCCTGCTAGAATGCAAACAATCCAGTTGTGTAAGACCAAAAACTATTTTGATCAAATCAGACCCAATCAAAACCATCTTTATTATCAATAAATTAATCTTATTTTCTCCAAAAACAAGATGGAGAGGAAACAAGAGAAGAAGGGGTTTTTTGTTGGTTTGTTGTTTTTGAGTTATTTTTAATTTACAGATTTTGTTTGGACTTGCCCCTTGTACACATTTTCTTTCAGACATACTATTTATTACCATTAGTGCTCATGGAAAACTAACTCCTAGCAAAATATGCACAGAATACTATCCTCACATATACTAGTATAATTTATTTTAACATATAAATCAATATTAAACTCTAATGATTTCACAATGCCATAATGAAAAGTGCCTTCTCTGTGATGTTTTTAGAGGCAGGAGGAATGTGTAAACTGTTTTCAAATTTCTCAAAGTAACAGACGGCCCCTTGGAGTCACTTTTGAAAAAGAGATATAAACTGTGCCCATTCCTTCTAGCTTCCGCGGTGGTTAATGTTCATACATAAGCACACTTATGGGACATGTAGGTTAATTTACTCCAAACTCTGGTGATGTTCCCTCCTACTTCAACTCAGACATATGAAAGAATAACCCCGATTTCTTTCTCAGTTTGTTTCCTGAGGAGTGAAAACATCGTAACTGCAGTATTCTGGGGACCAATAACTTTTAACATAGCATATTTACAGGTTTGAACATAAAGTATTTTATTAGAGAAAATGTGAATTGAAAATTGCTGTTTGGAGTCTACTGTCATTAGCAGTCACTGTTTCTGTTCAACTAAACATGCCCACAAAGAAGGTTTTAACTACATTTTAGCATGGAAATACCTGGTCTCCTACAAATGTTGGGTGAATTTCCATTGGGGCTTTATGCCATATTTATTATAAACTTATAAACTATTATGTTTTCAACTTTCATTTAATAATCTTTTGTATTTATACACAGGAAACATACTCCCTTTTAATATGAAATACGTCCCAGACGCTCTGACTTTTTTAAGTGCTTATTTTTCCATGATTGTATGATGTGTTTATATGTCCATTCATAAAAGATTGACTTAGAATTTCAAGTCCCTTAAGAGGATTTTGATTTTAAGTGATTTGTGCTTTTAGACTTTTTAAAATTATTTTTCTAAATGAAGAAAATACTTCAGATTGTAATGAAGTATATTTTGTAGTGAAGTGCAAAGTAAACAAACACATTTTCTCAGAAAAGAAGACAAATTAAAGGACTTCCAGAGAAACAGCTTCTTTGGATATTTGGATTCTGATCAATAGCATTTATAAGCTATCAAACATTTAAAGTCTGTATTTTCATTAAAAGCTTTTCTATATGTTTATTGGAAAAGATTCTATCCCTTCCTCTCCACAACTAAACATATAATGCAGGCACCAAATTGCACATATTTGTTCTGAATTAAAAAATAATAGAAGTATAAGGTTTACATTCTGATGTCCTTTATAGTTTGCAATACCTTCTTCACAGGTAAGGCTATGGAAACAATGCTTAAGCACCGAGCAGAATACTACTCAACCTGGATAAAAAGAGTGTCAGAATATTATCCTAATGGTGGTAACATTCATAGAACAAACATTCTTTTTGAGAAAATGAAACATTAGATATCAATAGAAAATTTAATGTTTGACGTACATTTTGTCATGAATTGCAGAAGGGAAACATAATGCCTAAACCCATCAAAGGTCATGAGATTGGTGTTTGAACAATGAGAGCAGACATTACCAAATGACACAGAAAAAGGTCAAAGAAACAACATATGGTATAAAAGGCATCAACAAACTTGCGAATGATTTAAGCAAGAACTGTTTTAATGCATTAAAAAAAAACATGTTATAAAATACAGGATTTGCATGTTTTCCTTTAAACGCTTGCTTGCACTACTTGCTGAAGAGAATTACTGAGTTGCTAGCTGAGATAAACTATGCATTACTTTGCTTAATTATCAAAACCATGTTCACCAACAAAGCAAAGAAAACCACCAAAATAAAACCTAGCTAAAGTTTCCATTTTGGAAGAAGAATTTTTTAGTTAGGCAGTACAGCATTTCTTAGATGAGCCTTTAATTTTTTCCCATGTTACAAACATTTCAGCCTACTTCTAATGGTGGTAAAAATTCATATACTTAAAAATTATTGGTTTGATAATTTCTTCCTGCTCTTCTACTTTGCCTCCAATGTCCTGCTCCCAGTTCGTCTACCTTTAGCAGTTTCTCAGAACTTGCTCATATAGGTATTCAGGATAATTTCTGAGGTTCACTTAAGAAAAAGCGGTAATTGATGCAAGCATCAGCAAACAGTGTAAGATGGGTAGATTTTACATTTACTCCAGAAGAGTAAATAAGCTCATCTTTTCAAAATGAGGGAGTGGGATGTTGATTTTTGTTTTTCTGATTGTTGTTGGTTGGTTGTTTTAAGATGGAACTTACCTTTTTCAACTGTGCTTCCAACTTACTACACTCTTCTTTCTTTTGTTCTATGGCTATTTCTAAAGACTTAAGTTTGGAGTCTCTTTTCAGCCCTGCTGATGCCAATGAAGATGCATGTTCTTTGAGATCGATTAAACTAGACTGGAAAATGACCAAGAGTAAAAAGTTAATTCCTAGTCAGAAGGACACTAACTTATTGCCAATTTAGTAATCACTTGGATCCTGAACCCCCTCCCCTTCCCCAAAAAGAGTTGACACAAAGATAAGCATTGATACCAAAAGACACCATTTTGAGAATACAACCAATTGGAACAAGAGGAGTTGGGATGCAGTGAAACATTCATAATACAGACAGGTTGACATTATATTCTGGAGGTACAATTACTTTGAAGTCTATTGCTCTAACTGACAAGTGAAAACAGGAGCAACAATGAAATATTTGAGCCTACTGGAGGCTTATGTAAAGGAAAAAATAGACATAATGACACACAACTATGTAAAAATAGAAGCAATATTTTATGTACAAAAGTGAGGACCATGAAGAATGCTTAAGAGAACAGCAGTTCAGAAGGTGACCACTAAAGTGGCAGAATTTCAGTACTGAAAAGGATTCAAGAGTAATTCTAACACACTTACTTTCATCATAATGACATAGAAGAACACAGATTTTACTGAAAAGACTGACCTCTTTTTCTGTCAGTTCAGCTTGTAAAGCATTGACTTTCTCCTTGAGGTCTTTGTTCTCTTTTTTATAAGATTCAATTTCTTCAAGTCTTTCTCTGTCATCTCGGTCCCTTTGCTCCTTCAAGCGCTCTATTATTCTTTCCTAACAAGGGAAAGAATTGCAAAATGAAAAAATTTGGAATCATTTTAAGAAAAGACAGAATAAAATTTCTTTACAGTAAGTAGTACTTAGAAAAAGCAACCTTCAGAATCAAGGATGGTTTGAGTTAATGGTATTAAAAGTCAGCGTGAGATTACTCCTGATTTCAAAAGCATCAGGTCAAGGTTTTAAATACTTGATAAGAGTTACATAGTACAGAAACTTCATTAAATAACTACACTGATATGAATATGTTTAGTCTCATGATAGATATGGGAAGTTTTAATCTCAGAAATGAATTTCCTGTATTCACAAGCGATTTAAGTCTTGAGTTAAAGTTCAAAACAGAAAGGCCATGACTGGTTTACTCACTTTGAATCTGGTTATGCTTTTTGAATGCTAGTAGCCTCTATAGTGGTTTCAAGAAGTTGTCAAGGTTCCTAATCTAATTAGAAATCAATCACTTGCTGACTATCAGTAACTTACAGGTCATACGTATTATATTTTGAGAGAACGACAAAAAATAAAGCTGTCCAAGACACAAAAAAGATACCCTGATTCAACTTATGATACTCAAAGGAAGATTTTTCTCCGTCTAATTAACAGTAACCCTACACATATATATTCAACCACATTTTAAAATATTTTCCTGACTTTTAGTTACTACTATAAGGATTGTTGAAAATCACGAGTCAAGAATTGGGTGATGAATTCAAAGGGTGAAATGTAAAAAGCTGATATAATTGTATGATTTTGTTAAGCTTTTATTACATTCTTCAAAATCAGATTCTACCAATACTTGAAGGATGCAAATATTAATCAGAGAGAAATATTTAGGGTAAAATAAAATAATCACTAGAATTGCATTTGAATTAGGAATGAGTCAATTGAAGCAAAGTATCAAGGCAACCACTAGTATCATTTTGGAAGTGGTAGTCAGGGGGCCAGTGGAAGCAATGTCATTTAGGAAAGTTAAAACTACATGGGACAAAACTGTGTCCCGATTGATGAAGTTCTGCACGACTAGTGACATGGCTTGGGGAGAACCATCAGCATGCTCACTGATTTTATTCAAGTCCTTTTGTAGTTACGTTTGAAATCTCCAAGAAGGAGTTTAAGAGTGGGATCGATATTTAAAATGCTATTTCATAGAACTGGACAAGACTAATGGAAACCTAATATTATTAGAAAGAGAGACAAATGTTATTCTAGTTTCCTCTGTCCATAATTCCTTATACTGCCATATATATATACAAACACACACACTGGAGAGATAGATATACACACACACTTACACATAAAGCCTACCTTTGCCCATATCAATATACTCTTGCTCATATCAGCATATTCTCAACTGTGGTTATTGTACCTCAACAAACATTCCAATACAAGCAACATTTCAGCAGCTGTACATCCTGTTCTGATTTGTAATAAACTTAGTTGTTATAATGAAAGAAAAAAAAGGAATTCATTATCAAATTTCACTGACATAGTAAAAGTAATTTTAAAAATCGTGTATTGTTCAGACAATTCTGGTTATTCATTCATTTTCTCCATACAATCAGGCATGATGTTCCTCCAAGCCCCAAAGGATCTTCTGAAGATTGCTTCGGTGCTTTTTAAAGCTCAAGGTATACTTTGCAAAAAGCCAACTGCCAACACTTATATGCATAAAAAAGAGCCTAAACTCAAGGCTGTGATTTTCATCCCAGCAGTCTCTCAGCTCTAGCTGACCCTGCTTTGAGCAGCTGGCTTGGACTAGATCATCTCCAGAGCTCCAGAGGTCTCATCAGTTCTGTGGAACAGGCAGAGACATCTTCTAGGTTCTGCACCTCAAACACTGGTTGTTTCGCTTCCACTCAGTCTCTCCCCCCCCCATTTTCACAATTCATCCCTTTGTAACACTTATTTGGCTGACAGTTGTTCATTGCCTCTGCTTGTTGTCTGTTCCTCCTTTCATACTGCATAGCAAAGGAACTACTTACTAGTAAATGGAACACACACTGTTTTGAGAAGACAGGGAAGTTTTCCATAAGTGTCCCTTTCTTGGCTTCCATATATCTGTCTTTCACTAAACATCTGTTGAAATCTCCCATTTATTCACCTTCCTATAATTTAAATGACATGTTATCTGCACGTATAAGTTTAAATCTGATAATCAGTTTCTGTATGAACTGAATAAAGTTTCTTATTTTATATTCCTGATTTAAAACTTGGCTACATTTAAATCAATTTGACTTCAACGGCTTATGCACTTCCCTGAAAATATTTAAATGCCAATTCAAGACAGAAAAATTAATCTTTTCATATTGATCTTTACTTATTTGGAATGTCTCTAATGTTTGTGGTTGCTGATTAGAGACCTAATTGTAGAACCCAGTGTAATTGTAATTAAGCATAATAGAAATTTAATTTAAATCTTAATTTTTATATTCTATGTTATATTTTTATTTTAAATATTTAAAAAATAACTTACTTTTGCATTATGTTTATATAGCAAATGTAAGCTATGCCGCAACATCTTTTACTATGTAACATGAGCTGTTAAGATCAAATATCAAAAGCAGATGTGGGATATTACTCTTCATAGATGCTTGCTATATGACTAGTCTCTTATTCGATGTGAAACTAGGCTTAAGAGCAAAACATGATATATTTGAAATACCTTATAGAGCCATTTCAAACATTTATGTTCCTCAAATTTTTTTTCTCACAGTTGTACAATATTGGCTTCCAGCTGTAATAATTTGTCTCACCAATAGTAAAAACTTTTTAAAATGTATTAGCAAAATTAATGTTAATACTATTAGAAGATTTAAAACAATTAGATAAAGAACTTTACCAAATAAGTAGTTATTTTTAAGTTTGTAAATAAAGGTACTTTGAATATTTATGACATTGGAAAATAATCAGCACTATACTGAACAATCTTGTAATAAGAACATTGGTATAGTTATTTTTCTGCTACCCTGTTCCTGGTTTCCAAGGCCTGGAAATCCATAATGCTACTTTCATTTTGCATCTAGGATTCTACTGACAGCAGAGACGCCCCTTTACAATCTAGGGAAATGAAAATACAGATTACAAAATCTGAGTTACCGTAGGAATCCTCACAGAAAACAGTGCTGACTACTCATATAAAACTCATGCCTCTACTTATTCCATTCAGTAAGAAATACGCAGTGATGACATACTACATTCCACTTAGCATAGAGTAAAAAAAGATACGGTCAAAACAAAAGGTAGCAGGCTATCTGTAATTAAATCTGTTTCCAAGACAGTATCAACTGTTATCCACCGAGACCTCTGGCACTGCAGGCACACACAGCTCCTGGCTTCACTCATCCCAAAGGCAAAATCTCCCTTTGACTCATATCTGGAGGGGTTTCAGGTAGAAATGTGATCATACAGAATAGAGGTCCTTCAACAGCAACACTGTCACAGATTACACAAATGACAAACCAGCAAATACACTCATTTAAAAAAAAATTAAAATTACTACTTGCTGGCTTTTGCTATATAGATTGTGCAAGAAAGGGATGATACGGGATACTAAATAACTTCAAGTTTATTCCTAGTAACAGATAATATAAATTGTTAATCCCTTTTAATACTAACATTAAATTGCAGCCTCCACTAAGTTGAACAGTTTAATAACCATTCAGAATCCACCTAGTTACATTCAGACTTAGTTTTATACCAATTCCTTCTAAAAGACGCATTTACCTATTTTTTTTCTTCTATAACAAATTAAACATAACACTATTTCATCCTATTAATGAGCAGTATTTTTTTTCTCAGTCAATCACAAAACAAGACTAATTTATCTGTCAGCTGCATAAGGCTAAATGTAAAAAATGTGTTAAAAGGCCCTAATATACCATGTTTTACTTGATTAACCGCTAACCTGCAGAAATCCCAACAATGTGTTCTTGTTTCACTCTTATTTGCATTGGCGAGCTTTCCTTGTGCATTAATCTAGGACCTCACAGGTCTAATCTATTTGCACTTTATCACAGAAGCAGGAACTGAATTGCCACAGCATATAGCTCTATTATCAGCCATACTCAACTGCTTATCTGCTGTATGCTGCTACAATAGGACCAACTTTATAAATATCTGCTTCGTGAAAGCAACCTCTTGAGCTGCTTTGGGCCAGTCCAAGAGCTGAGATATTCTTTGAAAAGTTTCTTGTTAAAACATCAAGGAAGCTGATAGCAGTTTTGCATATTCTGATTTTCAAAGCTCTTTTTAAGGGGATAAATAAATATTTTATAGGATAAATAGTATATATGGATATATAATTACATAAAATAATATATATTCTAATAGGACAAATATATATTTTTAATAATAAACTTATTTTGTGTTTATTGCAATGTTAAATTTTATTACTGTTAAGAATTTTCAGTGCTTAGGAGAGGCTCCAAACTTAGAGGCAAAGACTGAATGACTACCTTTTTCACTTTAGTTCTAAAATGCACTCAGAAGTGACTAAAGTGCTGATTCATTTCTGATTCCTGACAGGACAACAAATTATATCAGCAATATTGCTGGAAAGAATACAAAGAATAAAAGGAGTACATTTTAGGAAATCCCGATGCTGTCTACAGTAATTTCTAATTTAGTGTTACTAAGCTACCTAATCACTAAATAGGAAAGAAAATCAGAGACAGATACTTGGAAAAATCTACATTCATGAAGAATAAAGAGCCATTTTGTATGACTCAGAGCCAAAATCTCAGAGTATTTTCAAGAACAATGCAGGGAAAACATAAATGCTCAGACCTTTGAGTTTTGGACTTTAAAAATAGCTTCATAATTCTTTCATATCATATGATTATGTTTTATTTTCCATGAGAAGAAAAATATTAAGAAATTAAATTCTGTTTTAGTAACTTGTGGTTAACTAAACTGGTATAAATAAATTTTATCTCTATTTTAAGAGAGCTTCCCATCAAGGTAATGCAAAAAAATTGTGCCTAATTTCAGAGTATAAAACAAGATGATATAGATGCAAAGTAGGTCTGATATAATTTCTAGGAAAAATAAACAAAAAAACCCCAAAGAATGTATCTCCATGGAAACTGGGTATTCTTGAATGAAAGCAGCATCCTTTTTTGACAGCATCACAAATTTAAATTGATAGAAATACTTCTTTGATGCACTTGTTAATAAGAAATTGTCACTAAGGGTTCTTGTTTTGTCCCATTTGGACAAAAATCTGTTCCATAGTTTTACCAGTATTTGCAGTGGAAAAAGTTAATAACTCTTGGTAGAGTCTATAGGTCTTGAGAACGCTACCACAGATAGGAATAGGGATAAGACATATTACTCGCTGAGATGGGGATGATTTGGAAAGCTGAACACAAATAGGAATAAGACACATATGTAAAAATAAACTGTCAAGGTATTTAGCTGCCAGAAGACACAATAAATCTAGACACAATCATTTGGAATTTCTAGAAGATGTCTACTGGCTTCTTTCAATTTATAACCACATCCCAGAGACTACACTTAAGATTGAGAAACATACCCTTGAAAGTATGGTCTTCAAGAAATTTGCAATGAGAAAGAAATTGTGCGTGATCTCTCTGTACAATCAGAAACATACAGAGAGATGCTTTTACCTTGGAAAGTTCCTCTTCATTGTGTCTAATGCTCTAAGATCAAGTACTCTGTTTCTCAAAAGTTCATACTAATTCTACTCTGCAGTGTAGCTTTTCTCCTTTGTTTTTTTGTCTAATGCGCTCATCATTCCTCAACTGTAAAAAGATTTGCTGGTAGCACACAGTCGCTGGTCACACATTGAAAGAAAAAGGCTATTTTTTAATAATTTTGTGTATCTTTCCCTTAGATTAACGAAGTGGCATTTCTGAAGTAATATAGCACGATAAGCGTATCACTAACATATAGAGTACTTCCCTTTATGTACTGCCACCTAACTTTCATAAGTAACAATCTCTCCAGAGGTGACTGAAACAGTCACCAGAAACCACAGCACTTCTCATAAGCATTGGCTAACAAAAGATACCATTGCCTTCATCGCCTGCAAAAAGACAGAAATCTCTGTGGCAGAGGAAAACATCCCGCGGTGTTCATTGTGTTTGTTCCTCACTGAGGCCTGCAGACGTTGCAGGAAAGATGCCTTCTCAGCTCACTGTATGAAGCAAAGTGTCTACTTTGTACAGAATTCAGCCTTAGGAACCCCCCGTGACCTCTAATGAATTCCACTTGCAAAAACCACCAATCACACTGATTCTTTTAAAAGGTGTCTGTTCATGTATTTCCATGCAACACCAAACAAAGTAGACATGAATAGCAAGAATACATTTTTTTTGAGAAGGATCTAAATTTATCTAATTTTTCCAAAACATTACAACTAGCATCATTTGAACCTTTATTACAGCAATTAAACAAAGACTGACACAAAATTTCCATACCATCAAGGTCTCTAATACCGTCACATTTCAAGTTATACATATACACAAATAAATTCTATTGCACAATTTTTAAACATTTCTTTTTATTTGCAGAGACATACAAATCTTCTTCAAAATTAGAAAAGCTTTTACGTTTATTTCTTAGTTTACACTTATTTCAGCAGATTCTAGAATAGTACAGGTACAAAATGAGTTGAAAACAACTAATTATAGCTCATTAATTTGGGTTAGTTTTTAATCTTTTCTGGTAGTGAGAGGAAGACAATATAAGATCTGTGCAATACCTCCCCACTAGCTGCTTCCTTTGGCTTTTGACAATACACTTCCTGCACAGTTGCACAGGAGAACTGGCAAGTCTGCAGTGTGACACCCACTCTGCTTTCTACATCGACAACAGTAGCACTATGGTTAAAGGACATTTGTATACTCCTAGCTGACTCTACAGGCGTTTTGGGAAAGTAGCAAAGTAGACTAATCCAGAGAAGACAGTTTACAAGGATGAAAAACATGAAAAAGTAATTCATGTCATTTGTTAATAATATGCTGTGAGACTGGCGAGCACTATGTTCACATTAGCAGTGAAAGATTAACAAAATGTGCATAACTTTCTTTACTGCATGTATAATGCTGTAAGCTTATCCATGTGAAGCCACAGAAGTAACAGCAATGCCAACGTTTTTCTCTGTTGTTGACCAAGCAAATGTTAATAAGGTGATTAAACATACACAGAAATCAAAAATCCAACATTAACGTTTTAGGTGTTAGTGCCAACATCACAGTGGCATTTTAAAGCCATATACAGTCATAAATAGGATCATAGGATTACACACTGCAGAATGGCACATAGTACTTTAAATAGTTCCACTCAGCTGTGCACATTTAAGTGACATATTAAGATCTGTGAACTGCAAAAAGTGGATACTTGCACTAATTCTTCTGGTATAAAAATTGAATCACCTTGTATTCAAAGTTAACTGGAAGAAAAATCCTGACCTCACTGAAACTGGTAGGAATGTTGCCACTAATTCAACAGTCCAGATTTACCCCTTCTGCTAGATATTTTCAAATTAAAGGCATACAGTTTTTAAAGAAAAACAAAAATTAAATATCCATCTTTTTATGAAATACACCTTCTCTTCTAAATTAAGTGCAGGAAACAAATAGTGCTAACAGCAAGCCTTGGTAAGTCACTTGCTGTTGGCTCTTCTGCTTAACAGACAAAAGAACAGGATAATCAAGATCACAAAGCCATAAAAATAACCAAAACGCTGCCTTCTTTAAGTCAGGTGTCCATGCCTTTCACTTCTTTCAGGGAACAACCACAACACATCCCATTGACTAAGGGAAGATCTTCCCATGACCTGGGCCATTTACTCCATCCCCATTTAAAAGGGGATGGGTCTTTACCTGTGTCCTGTTTTAGTTCATCAGCCAGGAATCACTCCTGGCTCATCTTAACAGATCAGAGCCACCCGCTTTCCGATAAGACCCATAGGCTTTGTTAAAGGTACTAGACCAACTTAAAAAAAAGACATTTTCTGGACACTCTTCACCCATGAGAGCAGCACATATTGCTGTTCCATGAGAAAACATTACCTTTTCTGATAGAGCTTCTTCTAAGGTTGCTAGTGCTGTGTCTGTGTTACTAGAATCCGTCTGCAATGACTTCACTCTGTCTTTTAGATTAGTTAGTTGTTTGTCTTTGTCCCTAAGTTGCTCCTGTAGATTTTCAATCTGAAAATAAAACAGATTATAATATTCATCAACCTTGTCTTAACTTTCAAAGAGAGACGGGTGCTAGGATCAACTGAGTGTATACATATCACACATATGATTCATATGCCTCAATATACTGTCAAGTTTTTACACGGTATAATATCAACAGTTTCTAACTTCTGTCCTTTCTGTATTGTTTTTCTTTGCTAAAAAGTATAATTTTCTAATGAATTATAGGAAAAAAATCCCAGTGCAGTCAGGTATTTTATTATTTAAATATTTTCTGATATTAATCACTTTAGTTTAAGGTACTGCATTAGCTCAGTAATTCAAAGTATGTGTGGAATTACACCTTTAGATTACTGTAGTTGCAATAACAAGAACAAAGGAGAGGCAAAACAAGCTCAGTGAGCCATAAACTGAGGAAGAAGAAAGACGATAACCCACCTATCTAAAAACTTCTTCCAGTATCCCTGCTGTAAAGAAAACTCACCTGGGCAGAGATCAAGATGTTTATATTTCAAAAAGCAAAACTCAGAAACAAGCAAACAAAAAAAAACCAACCCAAACCATCCAAAGGCCACCATTCCATTCATCTCCATGAGGATTTAAGGTATGTCACTCTATTTTGCATATTAAAACTGCTTTAAACAGGTCTAGTTCTTCCTCTAGCAAGTATTTAAATATACTACTGATGTACCCATAAACACACTGGTTTGATAAGCAGGTCAAGATTTATAATGGTTAAGTCAGAAAGGTTTTGCACAAAAAATTGTCCACAGGACCATGTGGATTTTGGAAGCAGATCTGAACAGAAGCACTCAGCTTCTGATTGTCGCAGGAATCCCTTCCATGGCTGTAAGGCACTACGACCTTCTGGGCACAATACAGAGACTGGGCACAATGCATGGGTTATGTCATATGTGTACAATTGTATTAAATGTGTGTGAGAAGTATCAACTTCCATTCATCCTGCACTCTCAGTGTCACTCACTGTTATGCCACTGACATAAAACCAAAATTTGTTCCATAGTCTTTAGCACAAATAAATAGTAACAAGAAAATTACCTAGTCTGTTATCTTAGTATGGCACTTTATATAATACAACAAAGTATACCCAAATTTATAAGGTATCATTTGTTCAGAACTGGTTTTAAATATGCTGTTATAATTATTATTGTCCACAGAGACTCAAATTCTTATTTTCATCAGCAATTTTACAGTTTTGATCACATCCTGTCGCTACTGAAATGAGTGACGTTTTTCTGTTCATTTCATAATGTAGTGTCATTTTTCTCATGGCCAATGTCATTTCCATTTATGCAATTCAGATTTTAACAGAAGTAGGACGTTTCGTAACTAATGTTAAACTGCATTTAAAGATTCTTGTACAAACCTGAAGCCGAGTTCAACGTATGTGCATTGTTCACAGAAGTAAACAGCTATGTTAATAAAAATTTGGTCTCCATATGCAAAAAGGCATCATCATAAATCAAACACACTTTAATTTGAGGCATATTTTAGTAAAAATTCTCCTCCTACTACACTATACATGTGAAGGGAAAAAAGCCTGAAGTTAAGTTTTGACTTCATATATATCTATAATTAACAAATCATAAAATCCACAGTACACCTCTGTGCACCATATAAAGTTTGTACAAATCAATTTTAAAAGAACTTAAAAAAATAAAATAAAAGTAAAATAAAATTTAAGAGTAAATTTGGAGGGGCACATTTCATTTAGAAATTCTTTATAACAGTATCGCAAATACAAGTATTGTACTTTGTTTTTTCCCCTTTCTAATATACATAGTTTTGTATGCCAGATTAGCGCTATGGGCCATAGATTCCACTTGCTCTGTAAACTATAAAATACTAAGGTATATTTAGAAAGGATTTTGGGAAGACCTGACATAGTATAGCTCACTCTTGTAAACGACCTCTCGTAATATTTTTCTTCATGTGTATATTTTATACAGACACAGAAATAAGATATATGTGTTAATGAGTTAAGACTTTTTATTTTATGGCATGTGTGTTAGTCACATCTAAAATTACATTAACTGGCATTCAGAGGACTGCACACACTGTTTTTCTATACTTTCGTCCAAGCACTAATGATTCCAACAACTACCTCATGACACCCTGTGGAACACTGAAGCAACTGCACATTTCAGCTTCACCGAAATAAATTCTCAAGCAAAGAGGAAATAAAACAGGAGAGTGAATATTGATTACATGTTCTTTGAAACAAAGCATCAGCTTGACCTAGCAATTCTAGGCACCCTAAATTAAAGTACTTATTTCCTATGCATATTGCTTATCTGAATTCCACAGCATTTACACAATTTCCTTCCTCTTAAAACTAATTTAAAATATGATCCAACCCTTAACCAAGAAAACATGTTCTAAAATTATTCAGCATTTACAAAATTCTTTCCTCAAAGGTAAAGAGAACAGGCAGCAAATTAAAAACATCCCCATTGAATCACAACTGCTTTAAAATAAGTCATTCAGTGCGTAGTCCACAGATAAAACAAGAGGAAAGGATCTGATTATTCTTCTATTTGTGCTATATAAATATGAAGGAAATACTTTGATGGGAAGAGGACCACACTGGGGTATGTGAAAGTAGAAGCAGTAACACAGAGTGTTTGTTTGTTTGTTGGGATGGGCACATCTGCCAATGCAGACTAGATTTTATGGCCAGTTAATCAGAAGGAGTTCTCTCAAAAAGATTACAGGAGACAAAGAGATTGAGCAGTCTCACATGCTAAAATCTTGGAAAACAAGATATGATTTAGTTCTTCCTGGGTTTTTCAAACTCAGAAAAAGCAACAAACTCTCTGGTAACCTCTTGTCATTCTCCAACATATATTTGGGTAGAGGCATATATGTAAGGATACAACTTTATTGCTGAATAATGACTTACTTTTGAGCATGCCAGAATTCATTTTATGATAGGGACTGTTAAGACTCTCCTAATCCTTAAGTACTTATATTTTTATCTGATAGGAAATCAGTTACTGTGTAGTTTTGTCAACATGTAATTCTTACCACTGTAAACTTCTATGTCTCTGCGTTATGAGCTGTATGAAAAGATACTGCTCCATTCGTTCTGTATTGCAGAAAGTGTGTATATTCCCAGAGCTTAAGACAGTCCTTATTCCTTTTTAAAAAACAATACCCTTACAGATAAATGTCTTTCCTATCAATCCTGCCAATAAACTGAAAGTTCTAAACTTGCCACTTTTTGGCAATGGTCTCAGGAATGCTTCTTATATACTCAAGGGATTAAATTAAACCTCACCCGCAGACAGGCTTTAACATTCTACAGTAACCCAAGTTCTGAAAAGAAAATTACTTTCATTATCAAAATTAAGGTACTGTACTGGAATTTGCAAGAAAATTATTTAATCAAAGAAAATATTCCTTGCTATAAAAATTTGCCTTTAGAGATATGCATTAAAGTATAAGAGAATTTAAGGCAGTGTAAGAGAGAATTTATCAGAGACTTCCTAGGCCTAGGGAAACCATAAAGCCATATCTTTTTCTTTCTGTTCTGTATTTGAGTTTTAAATAACTCGGACAACAAGTTGTTGTAACACTGGCTTTTTTCATCTTAAAATTCATTTTGCTGTATTCTAAATTTCTCTAGGCAGAACTCTGAGATTTGACATTAAAACACAGGGCATGTCTATTCCAGTGAGGTAGATCAATAATATATTTAT